TATTATTATTTTATTATTACTTGTTCTTGCTGAAGACTGAATCTGGGCCTTCCTTATGCTATAGAAGCACTTCCCACTGAAGCACGCTCTCAGTTTATGAGGTAATAATCCTGTTAGGAAATAGAGGAAAACATTTCTAGTTCCTGAGTGCTGAGATCACAAGTGTGCGCCACCCTGACTTTATTTTTTATGATGCAATGGAGATCAAAACCAGGACATCGTGCATACTAAGCACTCTATGAACTGAGTTATGTCCTCGGCCCACTTTTTAAAATTTCTTATTAAAAAAAAATTGGGGGGCTGGAGAGATGGCTCAGTGGTTAAGAACACTTTTTGTAGAAGACCTGGGTTCAAATCCCAGCACCCACATGGCAGTTAACAACTGTCCCTAACTCCAGTTCCAGGGGATCCAACAGCCTCTTCTGTCCTCCACAGGCATTGCACGACACGGTGCACTTACCTACATGCAGGCATAACACTCATATACATAAAATTAAAATTTATTTTTTTTTAAATTGGGGGGGCTGGAGAGATGGCTGAGTGGTTAAGAACACTGACTGTTCTTGCAGAAGACCCAGGTTCGAATCCTAGCTCCCACATGGCAGCTAACAACTGTAACTCTAGTTCCAGGGGATCCAACAGCCTCTTCTGTCCTCCACAGGCATTGCACAACACAAATGCACTTACCTACATGCAGGCAATACATGCATATACATAAGATAAAAATAATAAAATACCAAAAAAAAGTCTTTTAAAAAAAATTGGGGGAGTATTTTTATTATTTATTTTTGGTCTTTTTGAGACAGGGTCTCCCTGTAGCCCGAGATGGCCTGGAATTCACCATGTAGGCTAAGCTGGTCTTGAACTCACCCATATCTACCTGCCTTTGCCTCACAAGTCCTGGGATTAAAGGTGTGCCCACCATGCCTGGCCTGATTTATTTTTATTTTATGTGTATGAGTGTTTTGCCTGCATTCATACAAGTGTACTTGTGTCACGCAATGCCCCCGGAGGCCAACAGAACATGTTAGGTCCCCTGGAACTGGAGTTCTGGACGGGTGTTTGTGACCACATGAGTACTACCAATGCCAGAAGGCTGAGGCAGGAGGCTTGCTCCAGGTTCAAGGCCAGCCGGGCCTACAAAATCAGTTTCAGGCTAGCCAGGGCTACACAGCAAGCCTCTGTCTCAAATAGTGAGATACTGGCTCAAAAAACAAAAACAAAACTTTTAACCTAATTTTACTGGGGATATAGCTCAATGACAAAGAATCTGCCTAGCATTTGGGGAGGGCCCTAGGCTCTATCCTCAACACCAAAAAATTTTGTCTGGAATATTACCCATTTAGCCTGGACCTAAGTGCCAGTCTTGAATTCAGTAGAGAGTTTCAATTTCTGAAGCCTGATAACACTAAGAGAAGAAGCCAGGCTGTTGGGAGGAGGTGCTGGGAGTGGCCTGGGGAGGCTCCTTCAAGAAGCTTCTCCTGGTGCTATTTCAGATTTAGTTCTCTTCATTAGTGGAGGTGGTTAAAGACAGATAGCTGGCACTCCCCGAGACTGCTAGAAGAAACAAAGAATTATACTAGAGGCTCTCCTAAAAAAAAAAAAAAAATTGAAGATGTCAGGAATGGTTGACATACACCTATAATCTCAGCACTTGGAAGGCTTCGGCAGAAGGATCACACAAGTTTTCAAGGCCAGTATGGGAAAGACTCTGCTTACAATAATAATAATAATAATAATAAAAATAATAAGTGTTCCACTGGGCGTGGTGGCGCACGCCTTTAATCCCAGCACTCGGGAGGCAGAGGCAAGAGGATCTCTGTGAGCTCAAGGCCAGCCTGGTCTACATAGTAAGTTCCAGGACAGCTGAGGCTACAGGGAGACCCTGTGTCAAAAAGACCAAACAAACAAACTAACAAATAAATGTTCCTAAATTTAGGCTGGAAAATATTCTGAAAGTGACGGGTATACTTATGGCAGAAATTGTGATGATTTGGTGAGTATATACTTACCAACTCATCAAGTTCTGCACTTTAAAAATTACTGCTTTTACATGTCAACCTCAATAAAATGATTAAGAAAATATACTACTATCTAGACCCAAGATTTGCTTTTTATTTGTATTGTGATGTGAGACGTGACAAAACTAATTCCAAAATAAGATAGAACTATAATGATTCAATTAAATAACCACATAGTAATTTTCCAAAAATGATCTACTAAATTAGGTTTTAAAACTCGCTAAGAGTCTGACTGCAGAGATAGGGATAGAAGATGAAAAAAATTCAGTACTAATTGTCAACTAAAGAGATGGTATGTCTAGTTTAGAAATGGTATTTAAAGGTCAATAGAAAATACAGAATTAGTAATGCTTCTGTACCAACAGTGGAAACACAATGCCAAAAAAAAAATTATTTTGTGGAGGCACTATACAACCTAATGAACAATTACATTTTAGACTTACTACATCAAAATGAGGCATAGAAGACAGAAGGATCTGAGGAAAATAAGTACAATGAAATAAAGTACACTTTCCTTTTCTTTTGGTCTTTATGAAACAGTGTCTCCCTGTAGCCCCAGCTGGCCTCGAATTTATTATGTAGACCAGGCTGGCCTTGAACTCACAGAGATCTGCCTGCCTCTGTCTCTCAAGTGCTGGGATTACAGGTGTGCCTAGTACACTTTCTTAAGAAATGAGCCAAAATAGGGGCTGGAGAGATGGCAGCAGTTAAGAGCACTGACTGCTCTTGCAGATGACCCAGGTTCGATTCCCAGTGCCCATGTAGCAGCTACGAACCGTCCTTAACTCCAGTTCCAGGGGAATCCGACGCCCTGTTCTGACCTCACAGCACTGCACAACACGGGTGCACTCACATACATGTAGGCAATGCACTCATACACATAAAATAAAAATTAAAAAAAAAAGACCCAAAATAAAGTTCACACAGTAACTCTTTTGGGTTTTTTCTTTTTTCTTATGGGACATGATCTCATTATATAGCCCTGACTGGTCTGAAACTCGTTATGCAGGCAGGCTGGTCTCAGACTAAGAGAGGTCCACCTGCTTCTGCCTCCAAACTGCAGGGATTAAAGGCAAGTGCCATGATATTTGTTTTGTTTTGTTTTTTAAAGAAAAACAGGGTGGTGCATACCTGTAATCCCAGCACTCAGGAGGCAGAGGCAGGTGGATCTCTTAAGTTCAAGGGTAGCCTGCCTGGTCTACATAGTTCCAGACCAGCTGAGGCTATAAGGAGACCCTGTCTCAAAAAAGACCAAAAAAAAAAAAAAAAAAAGAGAGAGAGAGAAAGAAAAAAGAAAAAAACAGGGTCTTATGTAGGTCAAGCCATCCTCAAACTTGATTTTATACATACACATACTTGGTGAAGACTGGCCTTGAACTTCTGCTCCTTCTGCCTCTGCTTCCTGAGTGTATTAGAAGTGTGAGCCACCACATCTATCACATAGCACCCTTTTAATAAAAGGAATATGGGGTGCTAGAGAGATGGTTCAGCTGTTAAGGGTACATACCACTCTTATAAAGGACTTGAGTTTGGTTCCCAGAACCCATGTTGAACAGCTCACAACTGACTATAGCTCTAGCTCCAGAGGATCTGATGCCCTCTTCTAGTACCTACACTCAAGTGCAAATACCTCCACATATGTATATATGTATATATTGATACAACTAAAAATAAAATATTTGGGAGAGCCTGTCTCAAAAAAAAAAAACCAACCGAATCAACCAAACAAACAACACAGCAATAATGGCAGGTAGAGTGCCCATGACATAAATGTTAAAAATGTTCCAAGTATGAATAACTGATCGCTAGAGTTAAAACAAAAGCCTCTATCACTGAAAAAAAAAAAAAAAAAAAAAAAAAAAAAAAAAAAAACCAACAAAACAAAACAAAGTATGGGTCCTTTGGGGTTTGGAATGGGAAAACCTCACAGGGTAAGAATTTCTCACAATTGAATAGCAACTAATTTCCCCCCAGGCTCTCTTCTGGGTAATAGTTTCTAAGGGACTAATATACAAGTTATTTAATATCTCTATTTTTCTCCCAAGTAATCTCATGCAATTCCACGTCTTGAAAAGAAAAACTGTTACCTGAGCACCACTACAATTGGACTTTCACTTCCAGTTATTACCATCAACCCCTTCCAGATCATTAGTGCCGAGGAGACAATCATCCCGAAATTTAGGACTTGGTAGTACAGCTGTAAGAACAAAAGAGAAGTCAGGGCCACCATTATTCTCACTCAGGAACACAACTGAGAGTAATCAATTTAAGCTTCAAGTAGCTACAGTAGAGGATGTAGCTCAGTTGGTAGAGTGCTTGCCTGGCATGTGCAGAGTCCTGGGTTCAATCCCCAGCACTGCACAGAGTATGGTATGGTGGTGCATGCCTACAATCCCAGCATGTAAGAGGTGGAATTAGAAGGTGGATATGTTGTTCATTCTCAGATTATACTACTTATTGAGTTTGAGGCCTGCCTGGGCCAGGAGATCCCTTCTCAAAAAATAAAATTAAATAAATAAAAACTATAAGGAAGGGGAAAAAAAGCACACCATTAAAATGATAAAAGTAAATAAATGTGAGGAAAAGCAGAGGCGAGGGGAGGAATACTTTGTTTGGGTTTTTTTTTTTTCGGTCTTGGAACTCACTATGTAGACCTGGCTGGCCTTGAACTCACAGAGATCTGCCTGCCTCTGCCTCCCAAGTGCTGGGATTAAAGGCATGCACCACCACGCCTGGTTGAAAAAAACCTTTTCAAAAAAGTTTTAACACTAGTTCTTCTTGCAGAAGAGCCGGGTTCAAATCCCAGCACCCACATGGCAGCTAATGACTGTTCATAACTCCAGTTCCAGGGGATCTGACAGCCTCGTCTGTCCTCCGCAGGCATTGCACAACACAGGTACACTTACCTACATGCAGGCAATACACACATACACATTAAAAAAAAAAAAAAGAATATTTTATGATATGACAACAGACATAAATTAACATCACGAGACATACTTATAAACTTTTTTTTTCTTGGTCTTTTTGAGACAGGGTCTCTATGTAGCCCCCAGCTGGCCTGGAACTCATAGAGATCCACCTGCCTCTGTCTCCCAAGTGCTGGGACTAAAGGCATGGGCCACCACACCCATCTTTAAATTTATTTTAAGTACACAAAGATGGACCATTATAATCAAGTGAAAATGGAAGTTGGTAAGAGATAGCCATCTTAAAAAGTTCTTCAAATATTTAGAAGTCAAATAAATAGTATCTACTAGATTTTGGCAAAAGCAACCAAAAATTAGGCTAGGCATGGTTGTGAATGCATGTAATTCTGGCACTTGGAGGCTAAGGAAGGAGGAAGGCTGAGGCAACAGGATAGAGTTCAAGGCCAACCTGGGCAGTTAAAGAAAAAAACAGCCAGGTGTGGTAATACACACCTTTAATCCCAGCACTTGAGAGGCAGAGTCTGGTAGATCTCTGTGAGATAATCCAGCTGGGTCTACATAGTGACTTCTGGGCCAACTCAGGCTACAAGGAGACCCCATCTCAAAAAACAAAAAAAACAGGCTGGAAAGATGGCTCAGAAGTTCGATTCTTGCACCCGCAGGCAGCAAACAACTAACTGTCCATAACTCTGACCCCTGTGGGCATTGCACAACTTGGGTGCATTTACACACACGCAGGCAAAACACTCATACACATAAAATAAAATAAATATTTTTAAAATCCCTTTTTCTTTTTTTTTGTCTCTATGTAGACCAGGCTGGCCTTGAACTCAAGAGATCCGCCTGCCTCTGCCTCCCAGTGCTGGGACCAGAGGCGTGAGCCACCATGCCCAGCTAAAAACCCTTTTTTTTCTTTTCTTTTCTTTTCACATGTATGTATTCAAATGTGTGCAGGTACAAAAGCAGCACAAAGTTCATGTCAGGAATCTTCTTCAATTGCTCTTCCACTTTACCGAGGCAGGGCCTGTCAACCAAATTCAGAACTCACTTCTTAGCCAGGTTGCCTAGGGAATCCTCCTAGGTCTCCACCTTCAGACCATCACAGGCTAGCTGCCATGCCCACCCAATATTTCTATGAGTTCTGGGGATCCTAGATACTACAGTCCTCCTGCTTGCCCAGCAAGTACTTTAACCACTGAACCATCTTCCCAGCCCCCAAAATACAAAGTATTTAAAATTTAATGAAAATAAAAATACAACACAACGAAATTTGTAGTACACAACTAAAGTAATACATAGAGGGGATTTTTGCAACTGTAAAAGTTTATATTAATTATAATAAAGAAGCCAGGTGGGCATGGTGGTTCACACCTGTAATCCCAGCACTTGGGAGGCTGAGGGAGGAGGATGGCCAGGAGTTTGTGCTTTTGCTTACTACATATGTAGCACTCCATCATCAGGGTTCCTAGTCATACATACTACATTGCTTTTTCCCTTGCATTCTGTACTTACTGCCTCATGGGGAGTCTAGATTTTAGATGAACTAGTCTAGATTTTCTACAGAAACTAGATAGCTAAAAGTAGACAGCTATGGCTTTACAACCTCATTCAGTTAACCATAAAGGACAGTGAAGGACTCTTCCAAAGGGCAGAACTTCAGGAAGAACAGCAGTTATACATCTTGCCTAGAAGGAGACATGGACCAAAGATATGGATTCACACTGATTCAGAGGGCCAGTGAGATGGATCAGCCGGTAGAGGCACTTGCCACCAAGCCTGACAACCCGAGTTCAATCCTTGGGACCTACCATGGTAGGACGTAAAAAGTGACTCCTGCAAGTTACCCCCTGACCTCCACATATGAGCTGTGGCATGTGTATAACACATATACAAATAAATAATACATAATAAGTTTTTTAAGAATGACTAGAAGCCAAGTATGGTGGTGCATACCTCTAATCCCAGCACTATGGAGGCAGAGGCAAGCAAATTTCTGTGAGAGAGGACAGACTGGTCTATATAAGGAGTTTCAGGCCAGCTATGGCTATAGGGAGACTTTGTCTCAAAAAGGGAAAAGAAAAAAAAAAAAAGCTGGGCACGGTGGCACAGTCCTTTAGTCCCAGTACTTGGGAGGCAGAGGCAGGCAGATCTGTGCATTCAAGGCCAACCTGGTCTACTGAGTGAGTTCTAGGGCAGCTGGGGCTACAGGGAGAGCCTGTCTCAAAAAAAAAAAAAAAGACTAGTAGATTGGGTGTGGTAGCCATACTTATAATCTCAACACTCAGGAAGCTGCCGAAGCAGAAGACTCAGTTTCAGGCCAGCCTAAATTATATACCAAGACTCTGAATCCAGATTGGAGTGTGGTTAAGAATGCTTACTACTCTATCAGAGAACCAGAGTATAAATCTGGCACCCACACTAGGTAACTCACAAATGCCTAACTCCAGCTCCAAGGGATCTCATGCCTCCTTCTGACCTCCATGGTCACCTGCACATACACTTGTGCATACAAACATACATGCATAAATAAAATCTTAAAAAAAAAGCTGAGGGTAGAGGTGCCGCCTTTAACCCCAGCATTTAAGAGGCAGAAGCAAGTGGATCTTTGTGTATTTTTGAGGCCAGCCTCATCTACATATGGACGTCCAAGGCAACCAGGGCTACTTATTAAGACCCTGTCTTAAAAAAAAAAAAGGGGGGGGGTATGTGAAGAGATCAGCAATTAGGAGCCCTGGCTGCTATTGCAGAGGATTCAGGATTGGTTCCCAGCACCCACATGGTGGCTAACAACTGTCTTTAACTCCAGTTCTAGGGACCCAACACCCTCTTCTGGCCTCCAGAGGCACTGCACACACACAGTGCACTTATATACATTCAGGCAAAACACTTATACACATAAAATAAACAACAAAACAACCAAGAAACAAAGCAAAAACAAAACAAACCAAAAATAAGTAAGAACTACCAGTCTGGTCCTAGATGTAGAAGAAATATCATTGAGAAGTTAGAAACAAGAGGTCTGAGGAAGGATATCAAAAGAGCACAGACACATGGAAAGTTAAGGCTGTGTCTCATATAAATACTCAAAAAAATGAATGACCAAATCAAGGAATATTCACGTGAACCAGATGACCTGTTACTGTGAATGTCAATCAGCCTGTATCCCTAAACACACACCCTCCCTAATGGACTGATGATCTATGTGGCAGATGGAGGTACAATGTAGCAGACAAGATGAAGGCTAGCAACATGAACTTCCACTAATCAACACTACTTAGGTTCCAGCCAATGTTGAGTGTCTAACCTGCAAAAAACCAACACTGATGCCATTCCTGACAGCAGGTTTCCTTGCCCACAGTACTTCTGTCAAAACCATCATTCAGGCTGAAGAGAGAGCTCAGCAGTTAAGAACACTGTTCTTGCAGAAGACCTGGGTTTGAATCCCAGCACCCACATGACAGCTAACAACTGTCCGTAACTCCAGTTCCAGGGGATCCAACCGTCTCTTCTGTCCTCCCTGGGCATTGCATGACACAGGTGCACTTACCTACATGCAGGCAATACACACATACACATAAAATAAAAATAATAAATAAAATATTTTAAAAAACAATCATTCACAGCCTTATGGAACACCTCATTCCACATTACAGTACCCCACACAAACTGTGTCTAGTCAGAGAACTCATTTTATTGAAACTATACCACAGAAGTGGGCACATGGTCATAGAAATCAATGGCTTCACTGTCCCCCACTGCCCTGAAGATGCTATGAATTTCAGGGAACAGTAGGCCAGTTATCAATGACTCATCTCAACTCCAAATCCATACCTCTGTATTATTTGAGCTGATTCCTATAAATATTTCTCCTTTGCTGCTGGCTTAATGATGTCAGGCTTTATTAATAAAGGGTGCTGAAGACCAGTGCAAAGTGACAGGGAGAGGGGCTTCTCCAGGTTCCAGTATTGATTTTACTTCACACAGTAGCTAGTGTATGTGTGTGGAGGAGGCCTGGTAGTACTTACCTCACCAACCATCAGATTCCAGACCCTAGCAAACTTTTCAGCCTCTGAAGGCCCTATCTGTAGACCAACTCCAGCTCACTGCTCTGGCAAATACCACTGTATGACAGGTTACAAATTCCTGTGACAGCCATATCTTCTCCAAAGAGGTCTAAATCTCAGGCTTGGAAGGGGTTGAAGGAAAGGTAATTTCTTGGTTTTCCCTTGTTCCCTCTTCCTCGCCCCAGAGGGCAGTTGCTATTTCT